ACACACACACACACACACACACACACACACACACACACACACACACAAATCTCTTTCTCCACCTAAACTCTTTCTCTTCTCTGGAGCCCTGCTTCCCATCTGCTATAGAACAGATGGCCTGGATGGCTCCAGGGCCCTGCCCATTACAAGTCTCCTTAGAAAGGACAGAAAACATAAGCTCAGGGACTCTGCAGCACTTCCTGCTCCCAAAGCTCAGGAGACAGCACCTGCAACAGGACCCTGTCACTCTTCAGTCACTATGAAAACCCTGAAATAGGCTAGACATGGTGAACACGTCCAGGGACAGCCAAGAGCCAAGGACAACCTGTTAGCCATGTAACCCACTGATCCTGCTAAGGAACTGAGCAAGGCACTGCTTAGGGTGGCTACAAGCCCCACACAGCCATGCCTTGGCTCTTTCCCTCCAGGGCACTGATGCAATGGAGGGCAGTATGCCCGCTAACATCCCCTGAAATGGCACGAACAGAGACACATGGCCAAGCCAGAGCTCCCAGGGAAGGAAGTGTCTCGCTGCTGAAACTGGAACAAGAGATCTGCAAGGCCCTGAGCAAGAACGACAGGCTAATCCACGGAGCACTCAACACTGGATGGAGTTTCAGTCAGACCCATGAAGTTCTAGACTGCTGTGCCACTTTGTGCTTCTCAGTAACACGTGTGGTTTTCACTACATTTCAAGAAATGTTCTAGCTCCAGCTCAGGCCTTTTGTAGGTAAACATCTTATACACATTCTCTTGCTGCTGGGTTAGGAACTGGCCACCAGGCAATTGTTACAAAGGTGAGAAGAGTCACCTAGCCATTAGCAAAGAAACGCATCACAAGCACACGCTGCGCGCTGAGAAAGAGGCTACACGCTGCTCGCATCCCAGCTCCGAAGCCTCTACCTGGAGGGTCTTGGCAAATGTAACACGTGTATTTCTCAGGCACGTTTTCTTCTGGCAATCCCATGCAGGCCCCGTGCTGCCAGCACTGGCACTCTTCGCACTGTGAGAATGAGAGAAGCAACAAAACTTAGGATGCGGGAGAACCTAGGAGCAGTGCCCACTGACCAGGAGTGAGGGGGAGAGGACTCAGAGGGCGCACGCCCCACTGACACCCCCCATGGAGCTGTAGCCACACGGTGACCCAGCAAGGCCATCACTGAACACACGGACGCTTACACATAAGTGCACAATTAAGTTAAAAAGTCCTTAGTCCTTTAGTCCCTGGAGCCACAGGAGAAGTGCCATGTGAGGCTATCAGCTCTGGTACAGGCCACAACACATAAAGAACATTTAGACTGAAGTGTGGTAGAGCATGCCTTCGATCCCAGCACTTGGGAGGTAAAGATATGGAGATAAGTTCAAGGCCAGCATCAGTAACACAGTGAGACCAAAGCCAGTCTGGGATACTTTAGAACCTGTCTCAAAAACAAACACAAAACAAAACTCTACATTAACCGATAATACTGCTTCCAGTGACTGCTGCCTCTCCTACCTCACAGCTTCTACTTCTTGCGTACTTTGTCAGGGTTAACGAAACCTGTCCATACTCTTAGAGAAAGGACACCTTACTGTGGCAAACAAACGGTAAGTTTCAATTATGCCTCAGGCCCACATTACCAGGTCTCAACCCTGGCTTCCATTTCCCTGTGTGCATGTGGTGTGTTCCTGCCCACACCATGGGCTGTCTGTTAGGAATCCATGGGCCACATGCTCAGCCTCCCACTGCAAACTCAGCACACAGCTTCACAGTGAGCGTCTATCATCAACAGACAAGCCAAGTCCCTTCAGCCTCCTAGAGTTGTGCTAGCTCTTTGCATTTATTCTAAAACTTGTCAAACATCGCTCAGGTAATCAGTGGCACATGTGAGGCAGCACAAGCCAATGCAAAGATTCCTACAAAGCCTACGTTCCACTGCCTTCCCTTGAGGCAGGATGACCTCAAGTTCCAGGCCAGCTGGGGTTACAGAGGGAAACCCTGTCTCAAATACAAAACAAAGTCCTTTTCACCAATGACTGTGTTATGAGGACTAGCATTCACCAAAAATGAAAGAAACAGAACCAAGCTTCAAAATCCCAAGTGACAGCTCTTTTCCTGTGTATAACCTCAGAAATACATTCATATAAGTAAAGTGGAAGAGTGGAGTGTGCTGTGCCCATAAAATGAATGAGAACAACCTAAAGGGCAGCTAAGGATAAACATCACAGATATACAAGAACTCTGAGAAAATCCTAAAAACCATTTGAGGAATACAGGGTCCAAAGTCACTGAAGCTAATTCTTGGACACTACTAGAGTCACTACTCTGAAGACTCTAACTCTACTTGGGCTGATAAAATATAGGGGCTCCAACAAAAGAGGAAGTTGGTAACGCTGAAACTAAGCAGAACTCTCAAATCAGAAGTCAGAAAACACATACAAAGAAGAACGAGGAAAGCCCTGCCAGGTATTTACAAATATTATAAGAGCATAATCATAGAGAATTGCTATGTTCTTCTGTCTCTGCTTCACTGAAAAGGAGTGAATCTAGAAAGAGACCCAAATGCATAGAGAAAGGCATTTCAAAAAGGGAGCACAATGCCAGTAAACTAGGAAGTCACAGCCCTCACTCCACACCAAAACGTTTCGTTCGTTTGCAGAACAAAACACGCATAAGGACCATTCATGATGGCACAAGCCTTTAAACCACTCAGGAGGCAGAGGCAGGAGGATCTCTGTGAGTTCGAGGCCAACGTGGTTTACAGGGAAAGTTCCAGGACAGTCATGGATACACAAAGAACCCAAACCAAACAAACAAATATATATATGTATATAAAAGGGTCTTAAAAAAACAAACAAAACACTAAATCTTGCTGGGCCTGGAGGCACACGCCTGTAATCCTCTAGGAGGCAGAGGCAGGTGGATCTCTGTGAGTTCAAGGCCAGCCTGGTCTTCAAAGAGAGCTCCAGGACAGCCAAGGCTACACTAGAGAAACCCTGTTTTAAAATAAAAAAGAAAAACAAACAAACAAAAAAAAACCCCAACCAGCTAAACCTACGAAGTCCTAGAAGAAACCACAAAGGTCGTCAACTCTTAGGAAGCAAAGACATCATAGTGTTGCCACACTATGTGGCATGTGACGTCAATGTGAGCAGAAACAGAATACGGCAATATGAGAACAAACGGGGCTGCAAAGCCAGACTGTGGTTAGTCTCATTAGCTTGAATTTAGAATTACCTCAAGAGTCTCTCACTAAGGGGTTGTGGGCCTGTCTATTCAGAACTATCTTGGGTAGGTGGAGTGGAAGACTGTCCTACTGCAGGTAGCACCGTTCCCTAGGCAGGGGATGCTAAACTTTCAAGAGTAGAGAAAGTAAGCCAAGCACAGCATTCGGTGTTAATTAGTTCCACTCTTCTTCCTGACTGTTGATGCACTATGATGAGCTGGCTTCACCCTCCAGCCATGCTGTATCCTATAATCCTCTCTAGAACTGTGGCCCAGGTAATTTCTCCCTTAAGTTGCTTTGTGAAGATAATTTATCACAGCAACAGAAAAGTAACTAAGACTCTACCCTAAAAACAAAACAAAACAAAACAAAACACCCATCAGCTAAAAGCATAAAAGACAAATTCAACTACGAACATTAAATCAACTTCAAAATCTGATGCCATGCATATAAATCAAACAAAAGGGGCCGAGCCTGTTCTTCCTAGTAGATACAGCCCACCCAGAGATGTGCTGCCTGCGCACATGCGCACCCACACACCCATGCACCCACACACCCACACACCCACGTGTAATGGAGGCACACAAACTATAAAACCAACTTCCATTTCTTCAGGCTACCAGAGCTGAGGAAGATGAGCCTCTCCACAGTCTGAGTCCCCAGTGTCCTCTCCTCACTGTGTGCCCACAGGCAAGGCCTTCTGCTTTGGCCTTGTGATTTCCTTCTTTCTCATTCTGCTAATGGGCTATTTTCAGCAGCCTAGAGTTCCCAGAAAGTTGAACCAGACAGCAAGCTTGGTCTCCTGCTCTGCACACAGGGGCCGCTCACATGACTCATTGCTCCTGGCCTCACATTCTCTTCAAGCATCAGTCTGTCTTCCTGTAACATGTGTCTGGAAGCTCTACTTGCCTGGATCATGAAGTCATTTTCCTCCTGCACCTCACAGATGCAACGGACCACCTCAAAGTCATAGCGGCCGTTACCTTCGAGCTCCTCATCTGGGTTGGTGGTCACATCAACATCTTGACCACATTCCTCATCACTCCAAAGAAAACTCTCAGAAGAGGACTCGCTCAAATTATCATCCTCTGGAAGGAAAGGGACGCCAATGGTCAGCGCTCTAAGCTCACAGATAACATCTATGGAAGCCCCACTCCCCCAGCCCCACTCCCCGGGTACTTCCTCGGGCCTGGAGACACAACAGTGCTCAGGGCACATTATTACAACAGTGCAAATGATGTCTGCTGCCTGACCAGGGCTGAATTACATGTCCTCACTTCACTGAGGGACCACGAAGGGCCCCAGCACCACTGAGCTCACTGTCAGAAGACTGGCCACATCATGAACCAAATACACCATCACCATAAGGACTCTAAAATGCTCCCTAGCTGTCCCCAACCTGCCAGGACCTGGCTTATAGCCATCTCTGTCCACAGCCACCTTTAGAACTCTGCACACAGTAGGGAAAGAGGCAGGGTCAACTGCAGAGATAAGGCTAGTAGACCTTGGGGCCTGACTACCTATAAGCACAGGTGCTGACTCTCCACCACACCCACTGGTTGTCTACCACATACTTTTGAAGGTGATCAGTGAGAGTGAGCCCTCTTACCGCATGCTTTCAATTTCCCTTTGTGGTTTCCATTATCTGAACCATGGAGCTGTGGGCTCATATGGACCCCAGGCTTGTGTGAGGACCCACATCTGCTGACAGCAAATGCTTTGGGTGGAGAGGGTTCCTGGGAGGTGTCACTGATGTCCTCATTGCAGGGATATTCTACAAAAACAGCATCATGCACAAATGAGCATTCCCAGGCACCATCAGGCATCGCAGAAGCAACCCCATCCAATAACAGCCTTTGAGTTCAAAGAGCTCCAAGGCCTGGGTGTGGCACACCACATAGAGAGCTGACGGACAGTTACCTCTGAGAGCACCTGCTCCTCAGCCCCCACCAAACACCCTCCTTTCCTCATAAAATGGCTTTTGTAAGCTAGAAAAGAAACTGAGAAAAAAACATGGCATCTCCTTAGCTCCCAAGGTTGTAGCGGAGATTTTCTTAAACACTGTTGTTGGGGTAGAAGCACACACTTCAAGAATAAAAGCCTTTAGAGTTGGAGAAATGGCTCAGAGGTTAAGAGCACTGGCTGCTCTTCCAGAGGTCCTGAGTTCAATTCCCAACAATCACATGGTCGCTCACAACCATCTATGATGAGATCTGGTGCCCTCTTCTGGTGTGCAGGTGTACAATACTGTATACATAATAAATAAACATATTTAAAAAAAGATTTAAAGCTTTTCTTGAGAATTGGGTATTTGATAGTTATGCAAGTAAGCCATGAAGATCATGTACAGGCCTGTAATCTCCGTGTTTGGGATGCTGAAGCTAAAGGATTGTGAGTCTGAGAGCAGCATGAGCTAACAGTGAGTTCTAGGCCAGCCTGAGCAAGAGTATGACAATGTCTCAAAAAACTCAAGGGGGTACAAAGGTTACTTATGTAGAAAGCTATTCCTGTGCACATCTATGTACGTCCCTGTGACAGCACACACTGGCCGATGCAACAAGCGGGAAGGCATTTATAAAGGCCAGTCAAGCCTTCCGCAGCTTGGTTGAGGGGCCAGCAAGACCCCTCAGTGGGAAAATAAACTTGCCACAAAACTTTGATGACCTGCATTCAATCCTTGGAACCCACAGAGGGAGGAGAGAATTAGTTCCTGAAAGTTGTCCTCTGACCTCCACAGGTACTACGGCACATGCACAGTGGTACGTGAACGCTGTCACTTACACATATCATAAATGTACATGCAATAATAATAATAAACACAATCTCATTAGGAGTTGGCTGAATAGCTAGATTTGGTGGTACACACCTGTAATCCCAGAACTCAGGGAAGCAGAGGCAGGTGGATCTCTGTGAGTTCAAGGCCAGGACAGCCAAGGCTATACAGAAAAACTGTGTCTTTAAAAAAAAAAAAAAAGAGTTCGTTGAATGTTCTCCCTCAGCCCACACCCTCTTCTAGGGCCCATGCCAGACTGCGGGCACAAGCCCTAGGAAAGGCCTGCTGGTCTTTCTTAAGTAGGGAAGCCCTCCATGGAAAATTACCAGGTTTGGTTTTCTTTTTCTTTTTCTTTTTCTTCTTTGGCTTCACTCTCACAAGTTCTTTGAATTTCTTCTCTTTATTCTTTTCCTTCTCTTTTGCAGCTAGAATTAAACACAAGTTCAAAATTTTTATTTAAAATTTTGTTCTTAGTTCTGGAATCTTCTTTTCTTAATATTCTTAGTATGGCTAGGCAAAAAAACCTAACACACAGCCCTGGAGTGTCTGGAGGTTGCAGGGTGGGCTGCTAGCAAGACCGTTCATTCCCCATCCCCTGGCCTTTGGGTCTGGGTTGCTGCCCACGACTGTCTGGGTGAAATGGCAGCCCTCATTCACTGTATGTCTCATCTGTTCTCCTGCTTCAAGCTGAGCAGTGACAAGAGTGACTTAGAGTCGGCAAAGCTGAAGTGTTACCTGGTCCTTTATAGGAAAGTTTGTTAATATTCAGGAAACAGACGCAAAGATAGCCTGGCCTACATAGCAAGCTCCAGGCCAACCAGAGCTACATACTGAGATCCTGTCTCTCAAACAAACAAACAAACAAATAAATAAATAGACATATAAAAATTTTAAATTAATAAATGAAGTTCAAGGCCAGCTAGGCTACACTGTAAAACTTTGTCAGGAAAAACAAACAAACAAACTGGAATCTATCTTCTAGAAGTCTTGAAACATGAAAAGTATAAATGGACACAGACAGTGTTCGATCCGCCCCCCACCTTTTCCCCAGTAGTGCAGGCTTCTCCCTTCAGTTTATCTCTGCTATGTAGGTAGACAGTGTGTCCCCAGGGTCTGTCTACCCTTCCGCTACTGTGAAACATGCAGCAGATGTCCAACTTATTCCTTCCCACAGGCCTCCCAGGACAGCTTTGAATGCACCCAGCACATCTGCAGGCAGCAGCACCATGTTACAGGGTCACAACACTGGACAGCCTTCAAGTCAAGGAGTTTGCCACACCCTTTCCACTGTAGTGAGAGGGGGTGACACTTGAGTTACAGCGATAGACTTGAACTATGTGCTGTCTTGCAATCCCTCACCCTGAAAACTGATGTTTTCCTGGCAGTCTTGAGGATTGAACACAGGGCTTTATGCAAGCACTCTGGGAATGAGTTACACCCCAACCCTTAAAACTGTCTTCTCTCTCTCTCTCTCTCTCTCTCTCTCTCTCTCTCCTCACTTTCTCCATCTCTCTTTTTCTCTCTCTCGATTTTTCGAGACAGAGTTTCTCTGTGTAGCGCTAAACTGTCCTGGAGCTCACTCTGTGTAGACAAGGCTGCCTTTGCCTCCTGAGTGCTGATTTCAACTGGACCAATCAACCCACTGCAGCTTTCCATCTAAGAAATGTCTCAGCCCTCCCCGAGCACACCACAGAACCAACACTCACTCGGAGAGCTGGCAGAGGTCCGCTTCCTGGTCAAGCTCTCCTGGTTGGCCTTGTCTGGCACTGTGGAGCCCCGAGTCTGCACAGGCCTCACTCCTGGGCTATCCTCTGGCTCTGGTGACTTCTCCATCCCATGGAAATACTTCATATGATAGTGCAGCAGCTTAGCCTTTCGGAAGAATTTCAAACAGTCCACAACTTTGCATCGAAACTTGTGGTCTAGGTCCACAGCTGGTACATTCAATGTCACCAAGTCAGCCGCTTTCTTCAAAGCATTTGGAACTGTGGAAAACAAAACAAAACAAAACACAAATGTGAGGAGCTCTGGGTTTGTGCTGGCTTTAGGGACTATGTGTCAGGATGCAACCGGGGAAAGTGGCTGAGTGGCCGAGTGCTGCCCATGACATCAAGACACAACGCTACCTCCCTCCCAAAGCACTGTTTCCAGAGAAGAAACCCAACTTCCACGAAACAACCTTGGTTCAGTATTAAAAAAGGAGGGTGACACATTTATCTGAAACAGCCTTATGTTCTCAGGGTTTCAGACTTTGGGGCAGAACTGGGGGAAACACTAAAGAAAATGAGATGGCAAGCTGGCATCGTGGCTCACAAGCTAGACCGGATTCAGATTCACCACCATTCTTTACCAGTCTGTATGAACACAGCCAGTGAGCTCCTTATGAAAACTAAATATTTGTGCAGAGCTTTGAGTTAACTAAGCTTAAAATGTCACATGTACTGATTTAAGAAAACAAACACACACAGCAACCAAGCAGGTGGACAAGAAGGTGTGAGGATCAGAGGACTCGGGGAGCAAACTCAGCACTCCGAGCCTCCCAGATTCAAACGAGCAGAGGGTAGCACATTGTAAGGCAGCATGATGGAGTAAGCTGCCCCAAAGTCTTCATGTGCCTCAGAACTTAGCTCAATAGCTGGGACACCTGTTATTCGAGCACGCAGGAGACAGAAGCAAGAAGGTCTCGAGTTCAAGGCCAGCCTGAGCTACACTTGCAGAAGATCAGGTACAATTCCCAGCACCCACATGGTGCCTCACAACTATCTGTAATGCCAATCTCAGGCGATTTAACACTCTCTTCTGCATTCCTTGGACACTGCATGCATGTGCTGTACAAATAAATATGCAGGCAAAACATTCACATACATAAAAATATACAGATGAGTGTTTTCTTCAGAGGAAAAAAAGATACTGTTTATTAAAGGTCCCCCTTCACAATTCCTTCAGCCTAGTAAGAACAATTACCTTTTACCCTCAACACTACAGAGCATTCTTAAGGGATCTTTCTTGGGGAATGTAAAGTTTCCCTTAATGCATTGACACACTTCCCATGAGAAACAGGTCACACAACTGGGCAGTAGGGGTGCACACCTTTAATCCCAGCACCTGGGAGGCAAAGGTAGGAGGATCTTTATGAGTCTGAGCCAGCCTGTTCTACAGAGCAAACTCCAGGACTGTCAACATTAAACAGAGAAACCCTTGTCTCAAACAACTAAAATAGAAAGAAAGAAAGAAAGAAAGAAAGAAAGAAAGAAAGAAAGAAAGA